GGGTAACAAGGACAGACTCTATATTAAAGACAGGAGAACAGTGAACTCAATATTGCAAGAATCTAAGTGAAAACAATGAGGGCCCAAACTAGGGTCAGGGGTGGGATTGGGGTGGGGGCAGTGAAGGGGGAGGAGGTAAGAGACCAAGAGCTATTGAGAAGGTGGAATCCTGGGAGCTGGTGTCTAACCGAACATGGTGGTGAGAGAGAAGAAAAATTCTCCAGTGACTGCCCAGGCACAGGGCTTGGTTGCTGGATGAAATCTTTCTGAAAGAGAAAATGTAAGAAAGGGATCACGTTCCAAGGAAGAGATGAGAAGCTTCGTGTAAGACATGTTGAATTGGGAGGTGCCTGTGTTGGGCATCCACGTGGAAACGGTAAGATGACAGCTGGATGTTCAGATCGTTTCTTTTTCACTGACACAGAAAGATCCTTTCAGGATCTATAGCTCCCCTATATTTGTTATGTGGACACACATCAAAGGACCATTCAACCTGTGGAGGGAAGTGTGCCTGTCGGCTCGGCATCAGACTTCCCCCACAGGGCAGGGAAGGACTGATGCTGGCCCTGAACTTAGGTGAGCAGAGTTTTCTCTCTTTAAGGCATCATCCCTTTGCTGTCAGGCTGCTTTTCTGGAGAATCCTGGCAGGACAGAGCAGGTGTCTTATCCGATCAGGAGGGCGCTTAGCTGGTGTCTTCATGCATGCGAAGAACACGAATGAAGTTGAATATGCATGCATTCAACTAAAAACATCCAGTTAAGAAAAATAAAGCATTAGCTATCTTTCTATACTAGTATCAACAAAATTTATTAATAATATGACTGGATAAATCTGTCTGATAGGCATTCCATAAAAGTCATTAATGTCTCTCTATCATCCAAGAGATTTTAGAGAACAGAAGTTCAAATATCAAATGGCAAACAGACATAAACAACCACGCTCAGGCTTAACATGACTCAACATGGACAAATATATAAATACCAAAGTATGTAGTTTGAGGAAGGTGAGCTCAGAGAGTTGCACCGGGAGGCAAAAATACAGAAAAACAGTCACCTCCCTTTTAAACCATCAGGGAAACCTTCACTGTACACAATATTTTAGCTGTGTGTAGAATGATGAGCTTGGATTTCTGGGGATAGCAGAAGTTTCTACATGGAAGAAATAGCCTGGAATGATTTGTAGGAAGGAGTGGGATAATTTGGTGATAGGAGAACTGCATCTGTTTTCTTGGGGAGAGATAATACACTGGATCTTGGAGGTAGGGAGTCGAGATCACAGATGAAACTTTCCCTGGGAAGCCATTTGGTTACTCCTCCTGCCATAATGTGTGCACTCAGCAACAGCAAACACTACGTTGCACCACGTTAGGAGCAGGTGCAAAACCATCCCCTATCCTGGCTTATTAGATAGAAGTGAATTTTTTTTTTAAAGATTTTATTTATTTATTTGAGACAGAGAGAATGAGAGAGAGAGAGCACATGAGAGGGGGGAGGGTCAGAGGGAGAAGCAGACTCCCTGCCGAGCAGGGAGCCTGATGCGGGACTCGATCCCGGGACTCCGGGATCATGACCTGGGCCGAAGGCAGTCGCCTAACCAACTGAGCCACCCAGGAGCCCCAGAAGTGAATTTTGATCATAGTTTTATTATGCATTCTTCCCAGCCTTAAGTTGAGTGTTGTTATTCCTACTGTTGTAAGTTTCCAATTTTCAAGTATCATGACAATGTGCTTAAGCAAGCATATTTTAGGAATTAAAAATAGATTTCTATTTCAGGTGAGAGAAATAAACTGCATGGGAAGAGGAACTCCTAAACAGCAAGGAAATTGTTTCCATCCAAATATCCTGAGTGTTTAAAAAATAAAAAGAGACTAAAAGGAATCCAGAACATTTGCAAAACTACAGTATTTCTGCCACGAAGTGTTGGTGCAATGAGCACTTTTTTAACTGCAACCAAATCACCGTTACCACAGGTAACTGAGTGCAGAACAGGTTTTGCAAACTACAATTTATAAACAGAAATTTCCCAGGCTAGACTTCTTTTAATACTTGTAAATTTAATTATGATGTTTATTTTAAAACAATACCCCCCAAAAGGCAGTGATTTAAATTTTTTTTAAAGATTTTATTTATTTATTTGACAGAGAGAGACACAGCGAGAGAGGGAACACAAGCAGGGGGAGTGGGAGACGGAGACCTGAGCCAAAGCAGACGCTTAACGACTGAGCCACCAGGCGCCCCTGATTAAAATTTTTTAATGTACAAATCAGAAGGACAACATCAATCCCCATTTAGAATTGAGTACATTTTTAAGTCTTCCTCAGTCTGACCTGAGAGGGATTCATTTCTCATACTCCACTGTGTGCCAAATAATAATGAAAATAATAGCAATAACAAAACAATTATTATTGAGCACATATTATGTGTAAGGCATTGTTCTTAAGTGTTTTTCACGTGCCGGTTATCTAAACCCCACAAGTGTCTGTGAGGAGGTACCTTCCATGATGGAAAAAGTCAGCACTATCTACAGTTTCAGACCCTGAAAATTTCCAGGAAAGATTATTTAATGTGTTTTGAGTATTAACAGGAAACAGGACACAGTCTAAAGAAACCAGTTCCATAATTCAGATATTCAAAAAGATTTTAAGAGTGTACTATAGGCTAGTCATATTAACTGGATTGTAAAAATATTTTAAGGAGGAGAGGAAAACTTGGCAGATGGAGAATAAGGAAATTTTACAGCTGAGTTAGAGTCGGCCTAGAAGAAGACTCCACAGGAAAAAGGATATTGAAGGGAATGGGGAAAATCTAGTAGAGGATCGGGACCAATTTTTAAAGTAAAGCCCAGACAAAACATGTTCTCATAATTCTGTGTTTTGTCATTTTATAACTCGGGCTATTCACAAAGGCAGTGTGGTGCAGAAGAAAAGATTCTGCACAGACAGAGGATCCAAGGGGCTGAATATTCACCTTTGTTCTGCCATTTATTTGGTGTGTGACTTTACAAGCTACTCTTCTTCCTTGAGCTTTATTCCCTCAATCCTAAACTAAGGGCAATGATATGTAGGTATTGTTGTGAATATTAAACAGATAATACGTTTTCAAATATGTAAAATGCTATACAAATGAACGATATTGGCTGTATTATTTTCAGGTTCAGTCACTGAACATTACTCTTCCTTTTTTTGATCTTTTGTCTTGTTGACATAACAAGGTATCTTGGCATCAGCTTAGAATTCAGTTATGCTAAGCTTTTGAAATTCTTTAGTAGAAAGGCAGTTAGATGACAGAAAGAGAAGGTGGTTTTGAGCCTGAAGCAAGACTGAATTCCTGAACTCTCACTTCAACTTATACACCAAGGTCATCAAGTCCTAAATCAATAGAATTTTTCAGCAAACCCTGCCCATCAACCATCATGGAAATCTACCCTTGCATAGCCTTAGGCAAAGGATGAGTGTGAATTTGGACTCAAATACAACCTAACTGGGGATAATGCCAAAGACCAGCTTAATAAATCTATATTGTGGTAAGAGAGAGTTTATTTTCTGATCCCAATACATAAATCTTGCAGGAGTTTAGGTGTACTGGTTATTCTGGTTAACTGCAGTTTACTCTATAGAGCGATCATAGGTCAATCTTCCTTCTCACCATCATGTCAAGGGGAACTCAGCTGCAACGGTGTCTCTGAGGTTTGGTATGGTACGATGGCGAGTAGGGGAAGCAGAGGTGGCAGGTCTGGGTCTCCTACTTACAGCGCTGATAGCTGGAGTTGGTAGAAAAATATGGCAAGTTGTACCAAAGGGAATGTAAGGCCAGAGCTGGGGTAACAGTAGAGAATCATGCAATGTATCCATTGGGGGCAGAACAAATGCCTGAGCCAAGATCCAGAGGGAAATAGGACAGAGGAATGGAGCCAGTGAGGGTGGGACGTGACAGCCGGGAGGAAACCAGCCTAACAGAATTTGGGTTTGCTGTGCTGGCACTTAGAGTAGATTCATTAAAAGAGGCTACAATACAAAAGGGTGTAACTAGAGTGAATATATATACGTATATATATTCCTTTTCCTAACACTTTTAATAAATACCTCTCTATATAAACATTCCAAGAAATAATTAATTATGAAATTATTGATAATGGGGACATCAGCATTAGGCACTCACAAAAACATCCCTATAACCACTACAGCCAGCCAACAGATATGATGCTGAACCTTAGGACTCTTATGGTCAGTTGAGTTTTCTAGTTGTTTGGATGGTGACCAGTCAAGAGAAAAAGGAACATTTTCAAAACTACTGACTTAGAAGAGTCAGTCATCAAACAATAAATAAAATATCAGTTCCAACAAAGGAAAATCATAAAGGCAGAGACAATAAGATATTAGGAGGAATGGTATTTATTCCAGTACTTGGGTAGAAAATCAACTAAAAACTTTGACCAGTGAAATACAATGAAAATCTGAGAAAAAGATAACTGACCCCTGGAGAATGGTTTACTAAACCTAGGAGGAAAGACAAAGTCAAGGTGAATTAACAGAATATTTGCTATTGATGTACCTTATAAATTTGATGGAGAATCTTGAAATTTTCATTGATAATTTGTATCCCTAAATTCTGATCATCTCCATAAGGTTACACACTAATGGAAAAATTTGACACTGTTTTAAAACAATACTTCCAACGATAGCTTTTTAAAAATGCAATGGGAGACAGAAATTGAAAAGTGGATAAAAAGAAATAATGCTCACTTTCATAAATTCTGAGACTTATTCCTACCTACCCCTAGCCTAGGTACAATGAAAGGGGAATGATGAAGGCCTAGCGAGGTGAATGAGTTAAATTCTCCAGGGGAGCATTGTTTGAGAGTTACTACGTGGAGGAGTTGGGCTCTCAGGCAGAAGTGACCACACTGTCAATGAAGGCGGAATCTTTCATTATTTATCTCAGAGGGTCTTGGTCTGTTACGGAAAAGGAATGGATGTTACATAGCTGACAGCAGCCCTTACCTGACCTTGAATCCATGACTTTGGCTAATCTGGATCTCAATATTTTTCCTCCTAAAGGGAAAAAAACAGAGTGACACTTTTCAAAGTATGCAGGAGAAAACTATGCTGAATGTGGGTAACTCTTAGGATTTTTATGATAATATTGTAAAACAAAATTGATGACTTCCTTCTTCCTGGCGTCTGTAAAAACTTACACCAAAATAGTAATAATGATATTACAAGGATGTGGAAATAATGTAATATGGCAGGATAAGAAAACTCAGATATTTATCAGCATGATTTTTTTCTCACTCATCATCCACCTCTCCAACCCCTCCCCCCAACTCTCCGCTTGCGTTTAGGCTCAGAGAAATGTACCCCTGTTTGCCCCATTGGGAGATTACAAAAACTTTGCTGGCAATCAAGTGAGACATCTCAATGTGAGCCTAAATTTTAAATAGAAAGTTTTAAGAGGCAGACAAAAGTGGTCAGAGGAAAAAAAGAAAAGGAATTCTGTCTGCTCTCTGTGCCCTCCCCATAGAGATATGAGAAGGGAAGGCAGAAGAAAGGAGTGGAAGGCTTAGATATAAGTATGGGGAGCCCTATGCCTTGTGCCTTTTCTCAGGCGGAATGGAGAGTTGAGGATGGGCACCCCACAAACATGGTTATCTCTTCAAGTATCTTCTTTCTCCCTTTGTTCCCTTTAAGTCTGATGATCCACAGGTAGAGAACCCGGCCTTTTGCTCTAGGGGAGGTCCAGGGAAACTGCAAGCTGCTCAGGAAAGAAAGCACTGCTCCCCCCCCCCCCATTCAGTTGGTGCAGACAGTAAACTGCAAATGTAGCTAGACAGTAGACTGGAGAGGGCTGCAGAGAGGCCCCTTCCCCTAGTTTGGGTCTTAGAACTGGACAAAGGGGTTTCATATTGGAAGGATATGGCATGGGCCTGGATATGGCATCGGTGCTAGAAATCTGTTGAGTCCACTGCTATATCTTGGCTGTCTCCTGCAGGAAGTCAAATTGGCTTCCCCAAACTATCTTTTTACATTTTGATGGATTGTGATTTACTACCTGGGTGGAGGATGTGGCAAGTCACACCAAGGAGAGAGGAGTGAGAAATCCATACACAGTTTGCCACCATGACAGCAATGTAAGACGGGGACAGAAAGCAAACATCTTGAAAGGGCTGAGTTTAAAACCTGAAATGGCTTAAAAACAACAACAACAACAACAACAACAACTTTGGCTTACCTAATGTGATAAGATCAATTTTCTACAACAGGTTAAAAAAAATTGAAGGTGAGTTTCAAGTCAGAAAATAATTTAGTCTTTCAAGATGAAGAAAGTTTCATTTCTTGCACACTGTGAACTTTGTGCCTGCTGTAACAATAATGTCTCAAATATGCTCTTTTGAGGATCTCTGTCCCTCTCTCAAATATGCTCCTGGATAATTATTTGGCTGCCACTAAAGCAGCAATCTGAGTTGTATGGCAGCCAAGAAAATCTCAGATCCTATGTTTGCTAATTGGATATAACAATTCATGCTCAGGGGCAGCAAACAAAATGGGCTTTACTCTGCCAGAATTGTTTTGGCTTCCATTTTTTTTGGTTAGCCCCAATCCTTCATTCCAAGTTTTCTGAGCCCTAAAACTGCTTTCCTGGTGAATAGCAATTCTCTGCCCAGGTATAAGAAATGCTCATTCCACTGTATCTGGAGAGGTTAAGTCTTTCTGTGTGAGAAGATGAGGGTTGGCAGTTGGATAGAACTTTATGCTTCTCTGAAACTTGATCACTTTAGAATTAATAAGAGCAAATATTGGAATTAATTCACAAGCAAGTAGAAGTCATAAACACTAGACAATAATATTCAGGCAGGGTGCCTGGGTGGCTCAGTTGGTTAAGCCACTGCCTTCGACTCAGGTCATGATCCTGGAGTCCCTGGATCGAGTCCCGCATCGGGCTCCCTGCAAGGCAGGGAGTCGGCTTCTCCCTCTGACCCTCCCCCCTCTCATGTGCTCTCTGTCTCTCTCATTCTCTGTCTCAAATAAATAAATAAAATCTTTAAAAAAAATAATAATAATATTCAGGCATATGACCTTTCCATTTTAGGTATCCTATAAATGTAAGTCATAAGTTGCAAATCAAATGACTAAGAGAAAAGTCAATGATTCTAGGTTTAAGCAATTAAAATTCAATGATATTTGGTTCTTAAATTATAAAAGAGAGATCCAAATGATGGTCTCTGCCTGATCTCTGCAGTGGATGCTCAGATTACTAAGAAATGTTTGGGAAAGGGGAAATCAATTAGATTGAATCTTTGTAAGATCTCTGATGATTTCAGTTTTTTTCCCCTCTATATGTAAAGTTTGAAGCAGAGAAAATGACCATGAAGAGGAAATTATTTTGGGCATTTAGAACTTTGCATAAGTCCAAGTTCTTTGACTTGAAGAGTTCTTATACTTTTCTTAAAAGGCATTAGGGTACAACAACTAACAAACTCAACTTTTATTTCTATTACTTTTTACAGTTTTTGTTTTTGTTTTTTTTAATTTACGATTCGATTTGATCTCTACAGCATGTCTTATTTTTTCCCATTTTAGAAAAGGACGTTTATAATGTGAGTGGTTAAGTGAAATGCTAAAGTGTTATACTGACTTACTAGAAGCCAGAAGGGACTCCTGCCTTCTGGCCCAGAGCCCATTGATTCATTCTATTGCAAGTAACTGTTCCATGCCCCAGGGACACAGCAGGGAAGAAAACAAAAGCCCTTACAAAGAAATGTAGTGTCAGTGGCCAGTGCTATAGAGAAAATAAGGCTAAGTAAGGGACCTGGGGTGGGGATGGGAAATGCCTGACTGTGTGTGGGGGAAGTGGGGGTAGAAAGGGTAAAATTGCTCCTATTTCATGGAAAAAGTCAAAGAAGGCCATATTGTTAAGGTGACATTTGTGACAACTGGGCAGAGATATGAAGGTGTTGGGGAGCAAGAATTTCCTACCCCCTTCAAGGTCCTTCTAGTTAGACTAAGAATCAAATTGACATGAAACAGATTAATAGAAGAAAATCAAATTTATTTTTGTACATATGGGAAGCCACACAGACATGGAAATTCTAAAGATAGTCAGGCAAAATGAGATATATGTGTCATTCTGAACTAAGGAGAAGTGGGTAGGGATCTGGGACTTCAATGGGAAGGAAGCAATTCACAGGAAGATGAGAATGAGTAAATGTTTGGTAAATAAATGTTTGCTGGATCACAGAAACACTGGGACACAGAAAACTTTCATCAAAGAAGCCTTGGTAGGTTCTTCCCTGTCGACCATACCTAGTTCATAGAATTATGTAGTTATCTATGGTGATAACTCTCTTCCTGGAGCAGGTCCTCTATCTAATTCTTTAGGCAGTTGTGAAGGAGCTAAAGAGCTTTTCCTAAATCTGCTGGGGTTTGATTGCTTTTCAACTCAAAATAATCTTCCTACCAAAGTGGCCCATCTTGGAGTGGCCTGCCTTGGGCCCCTACAAAGGAAATTTGGGAATGTATCACATGTGAAGATCAAATGTGGGGGAAAAGAAGTATTGGCCAGGGGTGGGCCAAAATCTATCCAATGAAGTTTTATTGGAACACATCCATGCTCAGTGGTTAACATATTGTCTATGGCTGCTCCTGTACTACATTGGCAGGGTTGAATAGTTGTGACTGAGGCCATATGTGGCCCATAAAACTGAAAATATTTGCTATCTGGCCCTTAGGAAAAGTTTGCTGACCACTGGTTTATGCAGAGGGAACAGCAAATACAAAGTCCTAAGGCACAAGTGTGCTTAGTGTATTCGAAGAGTGAAGAAAGCAAGTGTGGCTATGGTGGAGTCAACAAGAGAGAGAGACGACAAGAGGACAGAAGGAGAGTAGGGAGCAGATCTTGCAGGGCTTTTCTAGGCCTTTCTAAAGGATTTTGGGCTTTACTTAGAGAGGGACAGGAAACCACTGGAGGTGACTGAGTATAGAACTGACATAAACTGATCTACCTTTTAAATTGTTCACTCTTTTTAGAATAGATGAGAGGAGATTAGTCTGGTATATAGTCCAGTGATCCAGATGAAAAATGGTGCTAGCTTGGAATAAGGCACAAGAAATGGAAGTTGTGAGAATATGTCAAATTCTGAGTATATTATAAAGATTGAGCTGATGTGATTTGCTGATGAACTTGAAATAGAGGTGTGCATTTGTGTTGGGGGCTGGTGTGTGTGTGGGGAGACAGTAAGAGAGAGGGTGGTACAAGGTTACTTGTGTGGGCCTGAACATCTAGAGGATAGGAATGCCATTAACATATAAAAGGCACATTGTGGGAGATGTAAGGTATAGTTTACTATGGGAAGTGAAGAATTCAGTATGGACATTAAATTTAAGTGTCCTTTGAATATCTAAGTGGAGATGTCAAAGAGGCACATATGCAGCACATCGGGGGTTCAGGAGAAAGGTTGGAAACAGACATATACATTTTGGAGTCATCAATGTTGAGATAACATTTAAGTCCCAAGAACAGAATAAAATCACCTAAAGAGTGGCTATTGACAACACAAGAGAATGATTTGAATAGCGACCATTTAATTTCAATATACGTGACAGGTTTTGAGCTAGGAACTTTATACTCTTACAACACTTTACTTCGGTAGGTATCTGTACACCTATTTTACACATGTGAAAATGAAAACTGTGGTGTTAAATGACTTGTCTGATGCCACTTAGCTAGTGGCCTGAGCCGTCCCTTTTCTGTCATGACATAAGAAATAGAAAAACAAAAGACTGAACATTGGCCCTGCATGTTTAAATAAAGAGGCAATCGAATTACCCAAGTGGGTTGCACATGAACTCTGCTCAAAGTTTCAACTGCAGGAAGATGCCTCTTTAAGGAAACCGCTAGACTGGTGAACCATGATAATAATATCATGGAACTTCCTCCTCAATTTCCTGAATTGAACAAACTCTCTCGTCATGAATAAGCAGAACATGTCTAGTTTATGAGCAGATTAAGAGGCAGCCACTGAAGAGGAATTCATGCATCGATGTCATGCACATTT